GTCTTAGGCAGGCAGCCACATTGTTGAGAGTTCGTGGGAGCACCATTCACGCCCTATTCAGAGAAAACACAGAAGTTCTCCTGGTCCTCATCAGCCAGGATCAATGGAGCCAAGTTACCTTTGACTGAAACCTCTGAAGCCGTGGGCCCAAATAAATCTACCTCTTTTTACTGATTTTCTCAGGCATTTTATCACAGCGGTCAGAAAGCTGTACAAAAATAGGCAAAGGTAGGATTTAGCCTACAGACTACACAGATTACAGGGCCTTGACTTATACGACAGTATCACAAATACCTGTTTATGGAAGATTTTCTGACAAACTAGTTTTACCATGAAATAGAGATGATTGGTATGTTAAAGTGAACATATCAGGAAAAGTGTGTTCGACTGGAATAAACTGCTTCATCTATTCTCACTAATAATTACTGACACTGGGGCCTTGTGCTTCTGATGAACGCTATAATCACAAGAATTAGTAGAGAACACTAGACTCTCTACATGGGCAGATTAGCTAAGGGTTCAGTAGAGGGCAGAGACCAACTGTCTCCCAAAAGTGAAGCCAGGGAAGCATCTTTTAAGTAAAGTGTGTCATCAGAGTAAGAAATAGTTCATATTAAAAAGTAAAATAGGCAGGTGGATCTATGAGTTCGAGGCCAGCCTGGTCTACAGAGCTTGTTCCAGGACAGTCAGGGCTCCACAGAGCAACCCTGTCTCAAAAAACAAAACAATGAAAAAAGTAGAAACAAACACCTTCCCTGGGGATTTAGTATGAATTAGTGAACAGCTTGTTGATTAACTACAAACGTGACCCTTGGTCTCTAACACAGGCCTTGGCAGCAATGACAAGCAAGTTTGGGGTCTGTGACAGTGATCACAGACATGTTCCTCTGTACTCTGTCCCTTCATTCAGGCTCCTCGGTGACATTCCTGCCATTTAGAACCCCAAATTACATTATCTGGAAACAAAATGTATATCCCAACGCCTAGTCTGTGTTCACAGACAAACATGCATAGGCATTCAGTATTGTCAGGATGTATGGATGGCTTTTCCTGAATGTAGACATGCTGCTGGGCAATGTCCCTCATCTTCATACTCCAACCAAAAGTAGTTGGTTTGTGGCCAGCATCTACAGACACATCTCATACATAGACACTGGACTTATTATCTAGCCTGTTGAGGTCTATCTTAATCCATCTGGTCTTTATTAAATTAAAATTTTTGATGAACAGAATTGTATTTATGGGTATGCAGTTGTATACTTGCTGGGGAAGAGGTATGATACCAGTGTAGGCATCCACCCATTCACCGCATGTACCAATACACACAGCACAACAGAGGGAGAGAGAGAGAGAGAGAGAGAGAGAGAGAGAGAGAGAGAGAGAGAGAGAGAGA